GCAGGAATAGCAGTGGTAATGGCGGCGGTGGTAGTAACAGCGGTGGTAGTAACGCGGTAGTAACGGCGGTAGTAACGGCAGAGAAGCACGGCAACAGAAACAGCCACACGCGTTTACCGAGTGATCCACACGCTGTGCGCTGAGCGCTTTACTTTCATCCCCATCAGTCTCCAGTTCCATGGGGGGCGGGGGGCAGGGGGCGCTACTATTATCCCCATTTTACAGATGGAACAAAGTTCCGAAGGGCTGGGTAACTTATCTGAAGCAGGAGGCGGCACAGCGACCTCTGCTGGTAGCTGCTACTACAAGACTATGAACCCCAAAACTCCCGAAGCTGTTTTCCAAGGGGAACGAGTTTAACACGATACCCCTGGGGAAGGGGATCCGAAAGCTGTCAGCGTGCAGGCTCTCGTTCCTCCCGAATCACAGCACACACGCGGGTTCCGACTCTGAAATCTGCCCAAACGAACCACCAGGGTGAAGGCGTCGACTGCGGCATTGAAAGGACGGTCCCTCCCAGGTCATCCCCTGACCCCTGGACTCTAAATCCCAGGTGGCTCTGTGAGTAGTAACTGCGGCATTGAAAGGACGAGCGCACAGGGAGCGTCGGGGTACCCGTGGCTCGGTCCCTCCACACCGCCCCGTGTCGTCCCAGGACCGCAAGCGGGTGCCGAAGGAATACAGTGCTTGTTTCTCGGAGGAACGGCCCCCATCCCAGAGGGACACTGGCGCTGGGCAGGCTGGGGCCACAGGCGGGGCACGCCTCCGGTGCCTGACGGGTGGCCCCCACTGCGCAGCACCGCAGGGTCACCCAGGGCTCTCCAGCGGAGCCCCTGGGCCGAAGCACAGACACGCACAGCGACCGTCTCCCAGCTCTCATGGGGATGGCACACAGCACAATTCCGGGCGCAGAGGAGAGAAATTATTACCCAGCTCTGTGGGGAGAAATCCTATTAATCGGTGAACGCGCAACTTTGGGCACAGAATACATGCGTTAGTGCCCCAAAGGCGTCAACAGGGAACCCAAGAGCCCCCACTTCCCTGCAGAGCTGCGAGAGCCTCCGCCAGGCCCAGCTCCCATCCCAACACCACCTGCCCTGCTCAGCACAGTCAGCACAGACACCGCCACCGGGCGCTCATCAGGCCCTTCATCCGCCCGTTCGCGTCGGTCCCTCCCAGGTCATCCCCTGACTCCTGGACTCTAAATCCCAGGTGGCTCTGTGAGTAGTAAGGTGACCCCACCAGTAAGTCCCCTTCCCAGCTTGTCTCATGCCGCCGTGTGGCAGAGCCGACGTTTTCCATCTGTGTCTTGTGTCCCTCTCACTAGAAAACGAGCTCCACGAGGGCGGGGACTGGCATCTAGCGTGCGGAGCAGGCGCTCAATCAACATTCATTAAACGAACCGAACCTCCCGTCACCAACACGAAGCCCAGCCCTGGCCTTCCTCCCCACAGCACGCTCACTGCTCTTCTGCGAGGATCTTTCATCCCAAACTGGGGTTCTCCAAAACACCCCCAGATTCCTGTCCCACTCCCTCAACTAGAACATGTCCATACTCTTCCCGTTAAGTGCCTGGCAAAATCCTGCCCGCCCTACAGGCGCGTCAACGCTGCTTCTTCCACAGAGTCTTTACTTACCCCAAAGGCCACAAGTGCTATCTTCCCCTTCCCTCCAGCCCCATGTCCCTAAGGCACTGTACTTGTTCCCCTCCTATGACATCTACCAAATCTGCTTCATGGGACAGTTATCAACACCCTCATTTGGCCTCCCCCCCGGCCCCGCGGCTGTCTGGCGAAGTTCACAGAAAGGCTACAGGATCGCTGAGGGTCGGCACCGTCTGCCTGTGGCATCTCCTTGCGGAACACAGCGCAGTGCCCCGCTCCGAGCGGGGAGTCACAACTGCTTAGTGAAGGGAAGCAAATCAAAGAAACTTTGCCGTAACTAACACCACAGAGGGGTGAAGTGTTCGCAGCCTTCTGTTTTCGCTTACGTAAAGCACCCTGTCTTTCTGATCAAGGCCCCGTTTCCTTTAACCCTAAGTGGTCAGATCTATCGCAAAAGTCGCTGGTATAATTAAATTGCTTCCATCTGTGTAGATGCGCGATTTAGAAGGCACACGAAACAAAGGTGCAAATCTCGAGCCAGAATGTTCTGGGTTGATGTTTTCTTGAAAATGAAGTTTGCTGCAGTTGGAAATCTGGCTGAGGCCATATAACCACGTGAAATATGAACCACAAAGACCCACCTCCAATAAAATCTATCTCCCAATAAAGCTGAGCGCTTAGATCACGTAGGTCTTTATTCATTCACAGAACTGACATTTGTTGACCAATCGTGACATTTAAGAACACCATGCTCGACATGACATCGATTTGAGAAACATCTCGACACTCAGAAGACAAACCACCAGCCGAAAGACAGTGAGCACCTCTTTTTGTAAAGGTGTTTAATTTATACGTCCTCTTATAGTATGTTGTTGGGTGTTTAAAGGTTTTTTTACATATAATGCAACTGTCACCTGACTTAATAGCTTTCAGCTCTAAGTGACATAGTGCAGGAGTTATCAGAACAGACTCCAGAGCGAGGCTGCCTGGGCTAGGAAGCGGTCAATTAAATGCTAAATTTCCGACTCACACATACTCTCATATAAAATAAGCATTTTGAAAAGAGCAAGATCTTATCCTAGAAAACAACCTTAACACCTCCTTGTACCTAAAAGGATGATAAGTGGAAATTTGGTGCCCAAGGATTACAGTCCCTTCTCCTACCTCCTGTCCTATGAACAGCCTTGCTGTGCCTCCAGAGTTCTGCCCTTCTCTTAGCCTTGAGCATATGTCTGCTGCGACCACCCGCCCCCCCGACATCAGAACTATAAAATTACTTTTGACAGTTACTCCGGAACGACAACAGTACTATCACCCACATGACAAATGATGCTGCTAAAAGTCAGCATCCTTTTCTTGAATACTAGTGTGTGGGCATCTCTGGTGTTCTCAGCGTTCAGCACACCACAGACGCCGGCTGAATGTAAACTCGATTATAAGAAGGAATGAAGCTCCACAGGAGCAAATAACCTGGCGACGGCACACTTCTGTTTAGTATTTTCCAAGCTTTTCTGACAAACAAATTTTCATCGCACACTGCCAACATATGGAATTTATAGAGAACCTACAACTGTCAAACTAGATATTAAACGATAAAGCTTAACTGCTTTATTTTTTTTGACAAGTAAATAAGAGTAGACGTTCTAGTATTTCTCGCCATACACAACAGGCTTGTCTTGCACACTCACGTTGGAGACAACTACAAAATGATGGCTGTCACCAAATAAAGGACAGACACCTGGAGAAAGAGGGCGGCAGCGTGGCTCAGAGACTCTGGCAAAGGACCACCTATCTCCAGGTTCCTGATTCAGCAGGTGACGCCACAGTCATCAATGTACTAAAATGGACCTTCTCGCGAGTAAAACAGTCATTCATTTACTCACGCTTTAACTAACAAAGCTTTTGTCTTGTGCCTGTTGTGTGCCAGCACCGCCTGGGAAATGCGCGCGTCACAGAGTGAGAACGGGTGAGCCCCGGCCCTCACGCGGCCGGCAGTCCAGAGTCACTGGCGTGGCGTCACGCACCAGCAAGCAGGTACACAGACGGCACGACGTATAACACATTACGTGATGACATGACAACAGCTCTCCTTCGAGAGCAAAACAGAGGAGGAGCAGGAGGTAACCCTTGAGCAGAAACTCACATGAAGCAGCGGCTACAACTATCTGATTAAAAAAAACAGAAAATGCTTAGTCTGTGATCCTCAGTTGGTTAGGTAATGGGTCAGTTTAAAAACAGATCACTTGATAGAAATATGGAAAATATAAACGAATATTAAAATACAATTAAACTACATATTCAGGTGTTCCTTACTGCAAAGCAATTTACTAATATATAGCACTGTTTATCATGTTACTTACTTTAGGTCAAAAACTACAAATAATTCCTTTTCTGAAATAAAAGTATACGTACATGATGGTGGCGAGGGGCAATGAATTTATAAACATGGTATTTAAACTGACGTTAGAAGCATAAACTTTTCTTTTTTGTTAAAAACGACTACTTAAAGAGGCCACAGAGCAGTGCATAAAACTTAATTGTTGGAACCCAAATAATAAGAATTTCAAAACCACTACAGTTATAAAAACTGTGACTACAATCAAAATATTAACATTTCTTAAAGCTCTTCATCATTAGATTGGCTTTTGCTCATCAGATTTCCGAAGAAGTTTTATTTTCTTAAGATGACATTTCTAATGGGAAAAGGAAAAACACATACTATTGGAATGGGAAGAGTACCGTGAATCTTTTTATTCGATCCTCTAATTTTCCAGGTCAAGAAGCTGAATCTAAACACGGTACAAGACCCGGCTGCAGTCTCAGAGAGGATTTCTATCCCAACAAGGCGGGGAGCCCAGGAATCGAGGACACTGCCCTCCTTGCTACGGTGAGGTCACAGTCTGAAATGTGTGTCGGAACCTACGCGTCGTTAGTATATACCCCTGGTCGCTAGACCAGTGGTGTGAACAAACGACACATTTCAAACACACGGCTGCAACACCTTGTTGCACGGATGACTATTACAAAACCGTGGTGTAAGTACAAGAGTTTGTTCTTAACGTTTCGTAACACGCCTTTACTGAACGATGGCGCCAACCTGGATTGTGCAACCCCACGGTAATCACCGCCTGCTGTGGCTAAGCCGTGATGTTAACCAACCAAGTTAAAACCATTACTGACACAGAAACATGTAGTTAGAGATTTTGTGCCAACTAAGAAACCACACAGTTTTTCAGTCACGTGTACAGGATACTCTATATGGAATGTTAAATACTCAAAACCACACTGGTTTTTGGGGTTACCTTTCTTGATTGCTCATTTTGGCATACATGGCTTTCACCAATTCCGGGCTTTTCAGAAAATGGTCTGTAATGATCAAGAACCTAAGAAAAAAGAAGGAAAAAGTTTGGTTACTAGAAACGTAGTAAAACAGACTCGGCCTTACCCACTTCGTAGGCGTCTTATACATAAAAGCACTCCTTTTCACTGAATTTTTGATTTGTTGTCATTTTAAAATGTTTTGAGAGATCACATACTATTGTTCTATTAGCAATCAAAAGAAAATTAAAACACTCAAAATATTTTCCCCCAATTCTACTTCTGATCATTTTCAACGGGAGAAAAGAGCCTACTATAGCTTTTATCTGAACTCAGAAAGGAAAATACTTCTTATAGCTTAAACGGTAAAATGAAATTTAGCTACAAGTTCACGTATAAACAGAAAACACATTAAATTGTTTTGGTCAGAAGCTTAGTGCTAAAATTAACCAAAGAAACAGACAAGTCATACTTTTTATTTAAACGCATGCCAGAGACAGGGTAATGAATACTGGCTTGATTATCTACTTTTCAAGAGCTCTCAGGTTACCAAGAAAACATCCTCATTGTCAGGCGATGCAGTCATCCAAACTCAGAGATCAATTTATGGGAACCCTCAGGCAAAGATTATAAGCATATTTCTCCAAAGTGCCACTGTGACAACTAAAAAGATTGAATAGTGCTATTAATTAATTCTGAATCATATTTACCAGGGGGCATCTGAAGGCTTAAGAGCTAAAGAAGACACTGTTTATAACCAAGGTTATGTAGTAATAAAAGAGTGGCTGTTAAACGTTAAATATTTTTACAATCACAGTTTATTTAATCACTTCTGAACAAATAAAATAAGTATGGCTTTCAGCATAACAGCCAGAGGAGGCATATTAACTACCACAAGACGCGGTCGCTTTACGCAGAAACGAAATCTAAACACATACTCCTTTTCTTCCACAACCTGATCAACATTTCGATGTAAACCATTTCTAACAATAATGGATAACAGTCAAAATTCTAAAACAATTTTCACATCAATTTAGGTAGCTTAGCGAACTGTAACAAGAACAATTCATGCATTTCAAGCCAGGTATACAAAATTGTGATCCTAAAGTTAACTCGTGTAACTCAGCTATTTGAAACTTAAAACACTGTCCCACAGGAACGTTCACTCAAAACCAGTGTTTCCAGCACTGTGCTGGGGCCTGGTCACAAGCCGTGTTCCCAAATTCTAACAGTGGAGAAAGACGCACACAGAAACGTTTACAGAAAACTGTCTTACATATAACATACACACGTTATGGATTACAGACACAACAATAAAGTTTATCTAACCAGAGGGCTGGGGGGAGAAAAGGTGACGAAGGATGGGCAAGAAGATCGAGGAGGCTGGAGGAGGTGTTCTGTGAAGCCTTAGCTGAAGGGGGAAGGAAGGACACTAAATGAGACGTGACAAAAAATAAAAACCTGGGCAAGAACAGCGATGTGCTCAGGGAACTCTAAGCAATAAAATACTAGCAGGGCTTAACGAGGGATTCAGGACTGAGAGCTCATATTCTTGAATGCTGCCAACAAACAGCCCTCAGCTGCCGGCCTCTGCAGAAGTCTTGGCCGAGAAAGCAGCTTCAACCAAGGTCCGGGCTCACTGGAGGCCGATGTGGTGACCACGCTTTCCTTTGCGACACTGGTCATTAGTGTTCTCTGTAATTCTTGATCACTTCTGTTGGCCTTTTCTAAGAACCAACTTGGCCTTTGTTCATTTTTTCTACTGTTTTCTATTTCACGGATGAGGGAAAGAAAGGCGGGTCACAACCAATACGAGCTCTGTAGCTGTGACCACCAGCAGCACCTGCAGCGAAAGCGAAAAGGAGCCATCCTCTGATCTTTCGCCCGAGATAAAATTCCCAGCAGGTCAAACACCTAAACTTCACTCGAAAGTGAAAGGACACAATACTGGAAGAAAAGCTAAGTACAGGAAAGGTCTTCACAGCTCTCACCCAAAATCTGGATGTAAGAGTTTGAAAAAGACTGACAAATTCATCCACTAAAAAATCAAAAATTTCTACATGGAAAAAGTGAAACAAGCAAAGTCAAAACACAAATTAAAAAAGAAAAAATATTTACATTTTATTTCAAACAGAAGGCTAATATTGCTAATTTAGAAAATATGCCCACACACAGATAAGGAAAAGACTTTTCTTTAGAGGAAAATGGGTAAAGAAAATGAGAATGAAAAAAGGCTCGATCTCATCGCAAGAAAAATAAAAAATATAACTTTACAGAGATAGCATTTTAAACTTTGGCAGGGCTGGCAAATCCAAAACTTCGACAGCACACTCCGGTAGCAAACATGTAGAAAACCAGGTACTGTCAAAATCTGCTAAGGGGCGTGTAGATGGTACAAATCTAGGAAGGACAACTTAGAAGAGCTTGTCAAATTATAAAAGCACATTCCCTTGGACCTAGTCGTTGCACTTATGAATTTATGTGACAGCCATACTTGCCCACACACACAAGACAGATGTACGAATGAGGCTATTATCTACCGCAGCATTTTGCAGTTATGAAAACTGAGAACAATCTAAATGATCAACAAGAATGGGCTGATGAAATAAATCCTGCTATATGCATACAATGGAAGAGAATGAGGAAGTTTTTTATATGGTGATCTGGAAAGATCTCAAAAATGTACTGCTTAGTGAACAAAGACGCCCAGCCTGCGGGGAGCGGGGGGACTGAGGGCGTGCCTGTGAGGGCTGCGTGGAGGAATGAGAGAGGTGGCTGGGGGGAAACTATGCGTTTTCATATGAGAACAATATGAATGTATTATCTACCGAGAATTAAATATATAATTTAAGCAATAAACCCAGGCAAAGTATCCTCAAATCGATTTCTATTGGACAAGTATTCTGCTGACGAGCGCAGACGCTGCCACGCCCGGCCAGCGTCCCCGGCCCCTCACGTTTCCGGCCAGAGAACTCAGCTTAAGTTTCGTCTTAACAGTAGCTATTTGTGGGCAGGCAAATTTCAGTCATTTCTCCAAAATAACTTAATAAATCGGTATCTACTCTCGAACAGAGAGAAACAGAAAGAAAAGATGAACTACCTTCGCCTCTCCACCACGGCAACTCAGAGGCACAAAATACAGGTCATCTAAAGGCTAGGTCAAAATCTGATCACTAAAATGGAGTCCCCACTACATCCTGGCAAAGAGTCACTGATGCACACAAACCACGTCACAGACTAAACACTGCCAAATACGTCTTTTCTCTGTCCACAATCTCGTACATCCCCTCTCCCCGATCCGAGCCATCCTTCAGCTTCTAGGTCAAGTCTCACGTCATCTGCAAGGCCTCCCTCAGTGCCAGGCCAGGTGCCCCCACTGCCACGTGCTCCCGGGCACCCTGGGCTTCCTCTTCCGAGCGCCCATGCTGGCCGCACTCCCTATGAGATGTCTCTGCTCAGATGTAGTGGGCGCCTGAACTTTAACAGGGCCAAAACACACCCCTCCTCTCCGCCATCCCCATCCCCATCCCCAGACGGGTCCAGCCACCTCCTCCTTCAACAAGACGAACACCTCGCTCCTCCCATTCTGGCCTCCCATCCTGGCCTCCCATCCTGGCCTCCCATCCTGGCCGATCTCTACCCAGCTCACCCACAAATAACCCTTCCCGCAGTCCAGCCAGCGCTCCCTGCTTAGCGTATTCAATCTACTCACCTGTCCCCATCCCCCATCTCTACCACCATCACCTCCCGCCTGATGACTACGACTGCGCCCTCAAAGGTGCGGCCTCCATTTTTTCCTGTCCCCAACAGTTCAACCTCTGTCCAGCAGCCAGAGGGACCCTGCAGAACAGAATCCAGCAGATGCACACTGCGCTTAAATCGCTCCCATTGGCCCCCGTGGAACAGAGTACAATCAACCATCTTTTCCTGTTTACACAGCCCTACGTAACTGGCCTCCAGTCACCTCTCGGACTGCGTGTCCCAAGACTGTCTCCTTTGCCCATTATGCTGCAGCCGCCCTGGGTGCTGGGGTTCTTCGTGCTGGGCAAGTTCACCGCTCTGACTATTCTTCCCAACCGGTCCCCACCTCCACCCCCGACAGATCTTCAAGTGGTTGGCTACCTAGTTCTCAGCTCGAATGTCACCAACTCGGAAAATCCCTTGACCTCCGCATTTTAAAGTAGCACCTTGTGGCTCGAAGTCACATCACCTCCCCAGAGTACTTCATCAAGATCTGACGTTCTTCACGTTTTTTCATCGTCTCTCCTCCCCACCAATCATATTTAAATTGTAAATAATAAAATAGCTAATACCACATAGCATTTCCTGTAAGCCAAGGACCATTCTAAAGGACAGCTCAGTACACAAAACATGCTGCGTATTATTCTTCAAAGCATTTACCTGACATCTTTAATACATTTATTTGGAGATTTCTGGTCATTATCTTTCTTACTAAATTGTAATGTCTTATCAATTTTGACTCTCCGGTGTCATTAACAATACCTGGCACGCTTCAAAAACCCAACAACTGTTAAATTAATCAACTAATTGATTTATGTGTGGAATGAGCAGCTCTCAGTTTTGCGTTTCCTAAAAGCCTGCAGAGTAGAAGCAATTTCTAAACCACAGGTTCTCCAAGATGAAAGCAAACCGCATCTTCATGAAAAGGGCAGTCACTCCTCACAGAGACCGAAGCGCTGCCCTGCGACGTGGCTGACAGCACTGTCAGCAACATCCTCAAGGCAGGCCGAGAAACGAGACAGAGCGAGTCCTCATTTAAACGTGACTACGGAAAAGCTAACGCTCACAAAGCAAGCTGTCGATGCCAAAGCGCTGACCACATTTTTACATCATTTTCCAAAATGGCTAAAACACAAAATGCGTGAAGGTCCCTCTCCCTAGCTCTTCCTTTCTCTCACGTTCTCATTTCTAATTGGTTTTGAAGTATGTGAACTGTGACAGATTAATCGTTATCTGCATTACAGTGTTTGTACACCAAATCAAAGGTAGTAAAAGCCACCTGAACATCAAGGAGCTACAGAGAAAGACAATTAAAGGCGAGTAT